TATGGCCACCCTGACTTCCCTTATCCTCTTTTATCCCCTCACCTCACCCCTCCCCCAGAGCTGCAAGAGAAGGGGACTGGGCTTTGGGGACCAAGGCTTGGGTGGGGGCTGGTTTCTCTCATTTGAGTGTGTCATACCCACCCCCATGAACTCTTGCTAATTATCTCTTTGTATTCCTCTACCAGAAGAGGAGCGCCCCAAACCAAGGTGAGATCCTAGGGGAGTGGGGGCCTCAATCATGTCATCCTAAATATATCCCCCAGTTCCAGGGACAGGATGCAAAAAAAGACAGAGAAGGAAAGTGGAGACATAGAAACAGGCAATAGGACAGTGATTCCTTCTTTCAGCAAACATTTCCAGAGAACTTCCCACTGTTTGGCGAGTCAGACCCTGGCTGCCCTGTTGGTGAAACAGAACCAGATACAGCAATGGTAGCACAGAGGAGGGCCCTAGGCAATCACGGAAGGCTTCCCAGGGGAGGTGATGCCTGAGTCCTGAGGGACAAGGTGTTTGTTAGCTGAAGGAGAGAGATTGTAGACCAGGAAGTGGTGTGGCACGCACAAAGTCTGGTGGTTGGGTCTAAGCCAGTCTTTCAGGGAACAGGTGCAGACACAGGTCATTCTGATGAGGAGGATCACAAACTGGGCAGACCAGTGGAGGCTATGAGAGCTCATGGAGTGGGGAGAAGAGCCCCAGAGGAGGTGACATTGGGGCCAAAGCTTGGAGATGCAAGGAGGCAGCAATCCAAGCATGAGAGGCAGAAATTCTATGGACCTGGGTGGACAGCAGTGTGAATTTCACTGTGCCTGGGGGATGGGACCTTGGAAGCCAGGGCACTGAGGAGTCTTGAAAGGGTTTTGAACAGAGGAGGCAGAGGGTCAGACCCAGCTGAGAGAGCACATGAGTGCCTCGGCATCAAGGGAAGACCTCAGGGGGTGGAGAATATCAAGGGAGAGGCATGGCAGGCAGAGAGAAGAGCATATGCAAAGGCCCAGGGGCATGAAGGCACATGACATGGCCAGGGAAGCTTGAAATGTGGTGTGTGTCTGTGCGCGAAGAGAGAAGACCCTGGAGAAGTTGGCTGGGGCCAGATGGAGAACAGCTCTGAACGCCAGGCTGAGTTGACTGGACTTTGTCTTAAGGGTTAGATCTGGGTGTTAGAAAGGCCCTCTGGAGTCCTGAAGGAAGATGAACCAAAGGTGGACAGCTGGAGGCTGGGAGGCCAGGGAGGAGGCTGGCATGAAGGTTCAGGTGAGAGGGCAGATCAGCTCAGCTGCGGCACAGTGTGTCTGAAAGCAGAAAATGTCTGTTAACTTAAGTCCGGGGTTTAGGAGAGAGTCTGGGGTGGAGATAGAGTTGATGAATCCCCAGTAATGGATGATAGTCAATGTCATAAGAGTGAATGACATTAATCCCAAGAGTATCCTATGAATGAATCAAAGGGCAAAACTCTCATCAGGGGACAAGGAGACGGCGATGGGACAGCCGGAGATATAGGAAGAGAATCAGGAGAAGGTGCTGTGTCTTAGAAACCAAAGAGAGAGAAAATATGGGTATGGAAGTGCTCTGGGTAGGAAATCAAGGAGAGGGTAGGGGCTGACCCCCAGAGCAGCACAAATTGTATTTGTCCATTTGTCCAGTACAAATGCAATGCAAGCCACATATGTAACTCAAATTTCTTTTTTTGTTAGCCACATTTTAAAAAGTAAAACAAGACAGGTAAATTTAATCCTACTAGCATATTTTATTCAACTTTTTACAGCTGAAATCTCATAATTTCAACATTAATCAATATAAAACATTATTAGTGAAATAGTTTATATTCTTTTGTTCCAAACCACATCTACCCAATCCAGCGTGGGTATCTTACCGACAGCCCCTCTGATCTGGACTAGTCACATTCCAGGTCCTCAGAACCACGTGTCGCTGGTGCCACCCATCAAGGAGGTCAAACTACTCACAGTCTCTCTCCGCTTCTATCCACTCAGCCGTCCCGTGGTTCCTCCACTGATCCCGCCGAAGATCCCAGAAGGGGAACGTGTGGACTTCGATGTAAGTAACGAACATCCCATCCTAGGCAAATTAGGGTGCAAATTAAGAAGAGGCGCCCCCCCCCCGTGGAATTGCGTCCTGAGAGCCCACTAGTGTCCGAACACGATGCTTTGCTGCCATCTTCTGGAAACATAGTGCACAGCAGCCGTCTGGCTCCCTAGCCAGTCAAGCCTACCGATTCTTGCTGGGAAGGGCTCCCCCTCCTGACGCTTCTCAGAGGTGCCGAGAGGTTGGCGCCTTCTGGGGCACCGCCTGGGAATGACAGGGCTCCCATCCTGCGTCCCTTAGGACATCCACCGGAAGCGCATGGAAAAAGATCTGCTGGAGCTGCAGACGCTCATCGACGTGCATTTTGAGCAGCGGAAGAAAGAGGAAGAGGAGCTCGTGGCGCTGAAAGAGCGCATTGTGAGTCGAGGGAGGTGGGGGTTCCTTGAATTCTGCCCCCTCTTTCCATCCTTTGGGTCTTGGGAGATACGGAGAGTGGTTCCTGTCCAGTACAGACTTGAAGCTGAAGCTTTTGGGAATGTACCCAAGTCCGTGTCCATCTCCACTCTTGACCTAGCCTGGGAAGGGATGTCGGGTAGGTGGAGGTCCCTGCACCCCCTCATTCTTCTCCCTCCCCCAGGAGCGCCGCAGGGCGGAGAGAGCTGAGCAACAGCGCTTCAGAACTGAGAAGGAACGCGAGCGTCAGGCCAAGTTGGCGGTGGGTGCCTCCTCCATCCTGGGAGCCCAAATGCTCCTTTTTCAGCCAGGCACTACCATTTTCCATTCATGACATTCTCTGTGATCCCAAGAAAGTTATCATGCTGTATTATTCAAAGATCTTTCTGTTGGAAGTGACAGAAACCCAAGCCCAAACTGGATTCAGCAGAAAGAGAATTTAATTGGCTTATAAAATGAAAAAGTCCAGCTTGCTTCAGGTATGGCTGGATCAAGGGACACAAATGATATCACAAAGATGCAGCTTTTCTCTTCCCATCTCTTAACTAATCTTTCTGTGGATACTGGGGTGACCAACTCATCCTGGTTTGCCTGGGACATTCCTGGTCTGAGCCCTGAAAATCCTGCATCCCATCAGTCTCAGGCAAACCAGATGGTTGGTCACCCTACTGGACACCCTTGTTCCTAGGCAGGGGTGGCAAATGGCCACCAACATCTCTGGCTTAACCCCCTCTTTCCTCTGTTTCCTGCACAACCCCTGGGATGTTTTCAGACTGTTGGCCGGTCCATTGTGGATTGACTCATCGGCTAGTTGGGGGACAGGGGCTAGATACTTCTGTTGCTTTAGGCCTTGGAAACATGACCTGAATTGGCATCTGGAATTGACTCACTCAAACCACTTGTAAGGAATAGGAATCAGGTGGTAGGGAAGGCAGAGTACTGGTCTCCCAATGATGTCCACGTTCTCACGTCCCGAGTCTATGAATGTGGGAACTTACATGGGGAAGGGGACTTTACAGATGTGATTAAGTCAAGGATCTTGAGACAGGATTATCCTAGATTTTCTGGGTGAGTCCAATGTCATCACAAGGGTCCTTATAAGAGGGAGGACCTTTGAAGATGGAGGAAGGGGCCATGAGCCAAGGGATGCAGGCAGCCCCCTAGAAGCTGGAAAAGACAGGGGAGGGAACCTGAACCTCCCCTAGAGCCTCTAGAAGGAACCGGCCCTGTTCACACTTGACTTAGCCCACTGAGGCCCACTTCAGACTTCTGACCTTCAGAATTTGGAGATGACAAACTTGCATTGCTTTAAGCCACTATTGGTTAAGCCAGAATTTGTTTGCAAGTTACAGCAGTGAGAGGAAGCTCGTTCAGCTGGGGCATGCTGGGCTAGCAAAGAACATCAGGCCCACCTCACGGGCCCTTCCAAGGGGGAGGGGGTTTGTCTGGCCAAGCCGCTATTTCTGGTGTATGCAATGCAGGGTTTCTGGACTGGTGGCGATGTCTCAGTGAAGGCATTCTAGAACCCCTTCCTCAGGCTCAAAGCCAAGAGCCTTTTTACTGCTCCAGGCACCCCCCACACACACACACCAATTCCCATTACCAGTGACCCTCCTTGACCTTCTGAGGACATTCTTGTCTCATAAAACTAAAGGAGATTAAGTCCCGAGAGGGTATGTGTCTGTACTGAGGTTACACAGCAAAGGTCACCACTGGCCATTTCAGCCTGCAGGGATGAAGAAAAAAGCAAGCATCTCTCTCCCCGACTAGAACTTTTGCTGTTGAGGGGGTGGATGGCAAGACCCCGAGAGGAGGAATGACTTGCAGGGGGTCACTGGGCCAGGCCTGGAAGGGCCAGGAGGGGAGCACCTGCATCCTTGCCTGTTCTCATACCAACCTGGTCCCCCACGCTTGGGTCTGACTCAGTGCAGAACCCAGCGCTCCTCCCATATGCCCATCTCAGACCCCCTCCCCTCTCAGTCCAGGAGCCTGCGGGAGGCCCCGGGATTAACCCCTTTCTTCCCACAGGAGGAGAAGATGCGGAAGGAAGAGGAAGAGGCCAAGAAGCGGGCTGAGGATGACGCCAAAAAGAAGAAGGTTCTGTCCAACATGGGGGCCCACTTTGGGGGCTACCTGGTCAAGGTGAGTTCAACCTGCTGGGGCCTGAGGTCTAGGTTCCCAGGGAAGAGGTGACTGAGAGTCCAGGCTTCTGGTTCCTGAGGGAGGAGGGCTGGGAGCCTGGACCCCTGGGTCTGAGGGAGGAGGGGCTTGGGGTCTAGATCACTGGGGTCCTGAGGGAGATGGTATCGGGGAACATAGACCCCTGGGTCCTGATGGGGAGCCATCTGGAGGATCTACCCCCAGCTCAAGCTGTCCCCTTCCAACCCTCAGGCAGAACAGAAGCGGGGTAAGCGCCAGACAGGGCGTGAAATGAAACAGCGCATCCTGTCTGAACGTAAAAAGCCTCTTAACATCGACCACATGGGAGAGGACCAGCTCCGGTAGGTGGGGGGGGGGCTGGGTGGGAGACAGGTAGATAAGGGGACCCAGCGGGCAGAGCCTGGTGGGTGGAAACCCTGATGCCTTGTGACTTTGGGCAAGAGTCTCTCCCTTTCTGATCCCTTAGCCTGCCCTGTGGAATGTTTCACTGATAGAGGACCCATGTGTTGTGGGCAACCATGTTGTCTTAAGGATGTCCCCTGGGAACTCCAAACGGGCCCCAAATTCCACTTGAATTACAGCCAGATCTCTTCCTGACGGGGCCCTATCTCACTCTCGGCACAGCCTGTGTCTCATGATAGCCGTAAAAGGCTGGGGAAGGTCTTTCCTTCAGGGGCCTCACCCGTGTCTTGAAATTCTCCGTCCTGGGCACAGCCCTTAAAGTTGGAAACGTGCACCACCCCAGAGGGGGCACAGTGATGGGGTTTGGAGCTCAAAATCTGAAACCCCTTGCTCAGTGCTGCCCGCCACCCCACCCCCAGCTGTGTGATCTTAGGCAATATGTTTAACTTCTCTGAGCCTTGCTTTCCTCATTGGTAAAATGGGGATATGGTAACAAAATCTACCTCAAAGAGGAGGGGCGAGGGTATAGCTCAGTGGTAGAGTGTATGGTTAGCATGCACCAAATCCTCGGTTCAGTCCCCATTCCCTCCATTACAATAAATAAATAAACTTAATTACCTCCCTCCCAAATAAAATTTAAAAAATATATACACCTCACAGAGCTGTGAAATGTCAGTGAGATGATAATAGTAGTAGTCAGTTATCATCGTCATCTTTATCATCATGGTGGCAGCAGGTAGACATTAGTATTACCCTCATGTTAAAGGTGAGCAACTTGAGGCACAGAGAGGTTAAGTAACCTTCCCAGGGTTGCACAGCTTGCAGGTGGAAGAGTGGGGATTAGAACCCAGGCACTCTGCTGCCATCAGTGGTGCTCTTCCTCACTGTTTCATAAAGGGTTGTGATGGTAAATGTTTAACAAGTGGATCTCCATGGGCTGAAAGTCCACATTTTAGCATTTGCTCATGTCTGTGGTGTAGATACTCCCACTACACTGATTTCTTTTTCTTTCTTTCTTATTTTTCTCTGAGTGGAGAGAGGTAATCAGGTTTATTTATTTTTAATTTTTTTTTTAACGAAGGTGCTGGGGATTGAACACAGGACCTCATGTATGCTAGGCAGGAGTTCTACCACTGAGCTACACCCTACCTCCCCTCTCCCTGATGATTTCAAACTACCCGTGTGATGACCCTACACTTGGGGTCGGGAAAGGATGTGCTGAGTTGGCTCTCGGAAGTCTCCAGCCCTCCATGGGCTACGTACCCTCCCTCTTCAGTCATGTTATCCCAGTGTCTCACACTACATAACATGTCGCTAATGTTCTTTTTCCCTCCTTTTTTCTTCCCCACCACACGTCCACTCATAATTGGGGATCCACTCATACTTTTTGAGGAGCTCCAGTTACCTAAGTGTTACTTATTAGATAGTGGT